TATGACATATGCTCGATTTTAAGAATGCCAGATCTCTCAATGTGTTCCTGTAAGACTGCCTTAAAATGCATACAACCTAGTCATTTACACACAGCTCTGAGCCCATTTCTCATATTTACTGACACCTGGGCAGACCTTTCAAAAATGTAAAGTTTCCACTGACTTCAAACATTATTCCTAGCTTGGCCCAGTGGAAGCAGAGATACTTTTGTGCTGTCACTTCAAGTCTCCTTCAAAGATATCGATTGTCTGCAAGTTGAAAGTATACTTTGGATAGACATTCTATTCCTTTTTCCTAGAGTAAAAAAGTGCGAATGTGAGAATGTGCATTTTGTGGCTTGAAAGGAAAAACTAAGGGACATTTTTTCCCCATCTAAATCATTCACAAAAGTAGTATGTTAAAATAAACTGTCGAGAAAAATGATAAAGAAGGTGGAAACCAAAAATTGTGCTTTGATGTTATGTTACATCGTATGCACAGTATCCTTCATGTTGTTAGAAATTCCATTACAAAAAAAAAAAAAAAAAGACAAAACTAGTTATGTAACTTTAATCTTGAACTAATGTTGATCATTTACATGCCATGCTTACCTGAGCTATTCAGTGTCTCTGTATCAGATAAGAGATGGGGAAAAGGGAGCCGGGGAAGTGGAGGGAAAGAAAGAACTAGAGGCTAGGAGAGAGGATAGGAACGGTATCGGGGAGAGACTGCTGACTATACTTTTTGATATCTCTCCTGATGAAATGCTCAGGTAAGACTGTACTGCCCAACAAGTAATATATAATTATTTGTATTAACTAGCATTAGGTATCACAAAGCACGCATTTTAATAATGATTTAATGTTTCAATTTTATTTTCTGATTTTTATAGATCAGAATATTTTATCAGATACAGAGCCATCATTTAGAAAATATAGGTGAATAGAACCCAAATTGTTAACTTAGGAAGCCACAGGAAGCTGAATTGATTACACTGCTTCTTGGGGCACTTTCCAAAGTCATCAATAAATGGCCAAAAATCTGTATCCTGTCTAAGGATTGGAAGATTTCCTAAAAGCTCAGATACATAAAATGGGAAGTATAGAACTTATAAACCTAAGCATTTTGTTGATATGATCTTTTTTTAGTTATCCCTTTCAACTGGCTTTTCACCATATTTTATTATGAAGTTTGAAATGCATAGAACAGTTGAAATAATTTTATAATACCCACATCCCTATATATAGAACCACTTTGATCCTGCCATTTTAATATACTCAACTTTTCACATATCTACCTACCTGTCCATCTTTCTACACATCCGTCAGTTCATCTTATTTTTTGGTGCTTTCCAAAGTCAGTTGTAGCCATTAATATTCTTTTCCCTAATACTCCAATGTGCATATCATTAACTGGAGTGCAAATTTTGTTTACTCCTTTTTTTTCTTCTGAGGGCACATTTGCACACAATCTGTGCATGCACAGATCTTAAGTGTAGCATTGGGTGATTTTCAGCAGACTATCCGTGAATTCCAGGGATGTTGATGAACTCTATTAGATGTCAGCATGGAGTGAGGGGGAGTGAATGTAGAGACTTAGGACCCCTATCTTCAGACTGCTCACTATTGCTAGGATGAGCGGTCTACAGGGCCTTCTCCTTGCGACACTGACCTCTTCAGGTCTCCTTTATTCTGTTCTATGAGGATGGGTAGTTCATATACTAGGGCTCCACCAACAGTTAACTATACTATCTGTAGTGTACCTATCAGATGCAGAGCGTCTGATCAAGTGTGATATGGAGAGCACAAAGGAATCTTAAGATACAGAGGCCAAGATATGGGGTCCATCAAAGAGCATTTGGTGAAATCGTGTGCTACACACCTCAAGTGGAGTACAAAATTACATAAATGTAAAAGCCAACTGAGTAAGGGAATTTCAGGAAGTTCAGAGGAAGGAGTGTTTAGGAAGCTTCCCTTGACTCTATGAGCATCCTCTATGAGCAACCAGAGTAACCACTTAAAAAGTACATCAGATCCTGTCATTCCCTTTACTTAAAACCCCTCCATGATTTTCCAGCATTCTTAAAAAGATGGCAGACTCCATGAGGCCCTGTGTGACCTGGGTACCCTCCCACCTCCGGGCCTCTCTTCTCACTGCCCAGGTCCTGTTTGCTAGTCTTCTTTTTTCCTCACACACATCAAGTTTGCACCTCCATCACAGCCTCTCATGGCTGACCCCTTCTCATCATCCAGGTCTCAAGCCAGACATCCCCACTGCAAATTTTCTCTGCCCAAAGAAAACCACCCGTATTCCTACAACCAGCTGCCCAAAGTCAGCAGATACTTGACGAAGGAGAACACATGTCTAGCTTGTTGGACTACCACGGAAAATGAGTTTATGGAGTTTGTGTGGAGATTTCTGGAGGGACACTGGAATGAAAGTAGCAGTAAACTAGGAAAGAAGAATCCAAAAACTGAAAAGGAAGTATAAATAGGACTTGATGAATATCAATATGTAGATGGAAAGGGAAAAATCCAAGAGAACTCCAAGATACTCAAGTTTAGAAACTAGAAGAGAAACAAGCTCGAGGGGAGAAGACCAATATTGATAACAGACTCCTCTCAGAATATTTATCATACAACATCTGTATACAGGCAAGAGAGAGAAATGAACTCAGAAGTTTATTTTAGTACTGGAAACAAGCAGGACAATTTTACAGGCCTATGTAAAACTTCAGTACAATGAAAGCAGTAATATAAATGAGATCAGGAAAAAAAACCTCAAACTACTCTTTCCACTGAGTGACTATAATAACTATATTAGTTTTTTTGCAAGTCTGATGTAATTATTTGATCATTGAAAACTGAATTTAGAAATACACAAAAATAAGATTTGCAATAAGAAAAAAAAAAGATCTGCAATAAGAAAAAGTGAGTGTGGCAGCAACAGGTGATGGGTCAAAGGCATCTGATATTACATACAGACAGTCCCCAGTTTATGACAGTTTGGCTTAATGATTTTGGGGCTTTCCTGATAGTGGGGAAGCAATATGCTTGCAGTAAATAATTGCACTTGGCATTTTGATCTTTTCACAGGCTAGCTCTGTGGGGTACATTTCTGCCCTGATACTGAGCAGTGGGCCCCAGCTCCTACTGGGGAGGATAAACAACTTTTTACATTTACAGCCATTCTGAACTCACATAGCCATTTTGTTTTTGACTTTCGGGGTAATGCTCAAGAGATTACATGAGATATGTAACACTTTATTATAAAACAGACTTTGTGTTAGATGGTTTTGCCCAACTGGAGGTTAAAGTGATTGTTCTGAGCACATTTAAGGTAGGCTAGGCTAAGCTATGATGTTCAGAAGGTTAGGTGCATTAAATGCATTTTCAGCTTAAAGTATTTTCAACCTGTGATGGCTTTATGGGTTTACTGGGACATAACCCTGTCTTAAGCGAAGGAAGATCATTACTGGAATGTCCTGAATGGTTGCAAGACCTTCAGAGTCTTTGATGGCATAGATGACATCTATATTTAGTGTTTCCTTCAACCCTGACTCCTTTCTTAATGGTACATGCCTGTGCATTTGAAACCCTGAAATCATTCTAAGGTTAACTTGGACTGGCTTTTGTATATATCGTGTAATCCCCCCCACCCCCACAATAACCTGAGAGCTAGACATTGCCCTTACATACAGATGAAGAAACTGAGGCCCAGTGATTTTTTTTCCCTCAAGCTCTTAGCAGAGCTTACTAAGTAGTGGCTATTACTTTTGTTTCTTGAGAACTGTAAACAGAGTATTAGCACTGCAGAAAATTAGCGAAATCCTCATATTCCTCCACCCTGCCCCAACTGCAGCCCCTCTTCCCACAACCCCTTCAGTATTTCATCAGCCCTGTAACTGTCATGAAAAATTATATTCCATCTTGGGGCAAGTAAGATACAGACTTTTTAAAAAAATAGATCTTTCCAAAAAAATGTTACCAGCATGCTGACATCTTCATAAAAATTAGGGATCCTTGAGGTGTCAAATTGACTAACGCACAAACACTTGAAGAAGCTCAATATCCAGGAATGAGAGACAAACTTAAATACCTATCTTGTGTTTTCGTAGGTGTGACCTCCTTCCTTGAAAAGGCCATTTCAATCTCAAATTTCCATTACTGTTTATCATCCAAAAAATATTGTTCAGTAATGCCTCGCTATACAAGACTCATGCCAATATTGCTCAGGCAACCTTGTCAATTTGAGTTATAGTACATGCTACTTAGGTACAGTAGAAATAAGTTTAAACTACTGAAGACATTAGATCTTTTCAAAGCTGTTCTTAAATGCTATGAAAGAGAATAATCATAACATGCTAATTTGTAGATTCCCTATTCTTATGTTCCTTGTTCTGGTCTCTACTATGGCCTTAGGCAGAATTCTGTCATTTATCAAAATCAATTCTGTGTTCAAAACCCCATTTTTCAGTATTGAAAATTTACAATTTTGTGAGTTAAAATATCATTTCCTATGCAGGCTTTTAGTCCATACTAGCCTTGCCTGCTACCTGTTAATATATTTTTAAAAATATTTTATTATATCTTGATCCCTAACTACCCAGAAAGATAAATGAATTTAAGACACAGGAAAAACTCCTTTTTTTAATTATGCAAGGATCATGTCTAAAGTAAGAAATAGATCCGTATGAATTTTTTTCATTGCAACGATGGAATCTCTCACAACTTTTTCGTAAATTGCAATTCCATTACTCTTTATTCCCCAAGAATGGAAAGAATGCACTTTATTTTTTTGGAAAAATAAACACACTGAGTTGGTAAAAATACCAATTACAGGAGTGTCTACCCTAAAAGTCAAATTCATTTTGTTTATTATTGCAAGTTATTAAAAGGCTCCCAGGCATGCATATAAAACCTGAAAAACAATGGTTGAATCTATCATATTAAATTAAAACCTCTTCATAAAAAAACAAAACCCAAACAGTTTATCAGTGAGGGAATGCCATGCCACCTCAAAAGTCAATACAAATAAGACTTTATTAAAACATAACGAAAATGAAGTTCCACAAGAATCCTCAGTGGAAATTGTTGTGCTTCAGATTCAAATGTGGAGAATAAAAATGATCAGCTGACCTTAACTTATTTAAAGTAACAAAGAAAAGAAAAACAAATTCCATGACCAACAACTGGCATTACACAAAGAAAGAAAATACAGCCTCACAACGGTGTACATGAATGTATCTCAAGTTAGATAAGTCTCTGCTTTCATAACAAAGTCATACTCCAACATGTATCCATCCTACTAAGTTCCTTTGCGCATTTGTCTTAACACTTCGCGTACCTTCTGAAGTCAATCCCTGCAATTCTAGTAGCTGCCATGAGTTGGCAATGCAGATTATTTCCCTTTGTCTTCGGTTTTCCTTTATTTCTTGTCCTATCCTGGACTCTTCTTTTCAGGGTAGTTCTCTGTTTATTATTCCCTGAAGCAACGCACATGTTCACTTAAACAAAATTAAAAGGATGTGCTCAAATTTTGAAAATCAGGCTGTAGCCAGATAAAATAGCTTTGCAAGATGCATGCAGTTGTAGCTTGTTGGCTATAACTCTTCCCATATTTATTTATTTATTTACTTACTTATTTTAAAGATTTTATTTATTACAACGAGAGAGGGAACACAAGCAGAGGGAGTGGGAGAGGGAGAAGCAGGCAGGGAGCCCGATGTAGGACCCCATCCCAGGACCCCCGGGATCATGACCCAAGCCGAAGGCAGACGCTTAACAACTGAGCCATCCAGGTGCCCCCTGCTCTTTTTTAAAAGATTTTATTTAACTCTTCCCATTTTTAATCAGATAAATGAATGTTACTGTATCCCACCTGAAAGCTGATGTTCTACATTATCATGTTAAATGCCTATAAAATATATCATAAAATGAATGTTCCAAATATATGAATAATCTATACTTGAACATTTATCTGGTCTCTAATATCTTATTTAAATAATGTCATGGTAAAAATTCTTCAAACCTTTGAACATTCATCCAAATAGGAATGATTATATTACTATTTTTGATACATAAACCCAAAATATCAAAATTTAGCAACACTTTCAAAGAATTGAATTGCAAAGCAATTTTCCATATAGATTTTATTTTATTTTTAATTTTTTAAAGATTTTATTTATTTATTTGACAGACAGAGATCACAGGTAGGTAGAGAAGCAGGCAGAGAGAGGAGGAAGTAGGCTCCCTGCTGAGCAGAGAGCCCAATGCGGGACTTGATCCCAGGACCCTGGGATCATGACCTGAGCCCAAGGCAGAGGCTTTAACCGACTGAGCCACCCAGGCACCCCTCCATATAGATTTTTAAAAGTCCATTATTACCTTCATTCTGCTTTCCAGTGTAGTTCAATGAACTAAAGAAAGTAAATTAATTTGAATGGTTTTTTTTAATTGTTTGATTAGCTTTTAAATTAGCTTCAGGGGTGCCTGGGTGTCTCAGTTGGTTGGACAACTGCCTCTGGCTTGCGTTGTGGTCCCAGAGTCCTGGGACCGAGTGCCGCGTCGGGCTCCCAGCTCCACAGGGAGTCTGCTTTTCCCTCTGACCTTCTCCCCTCTCATGCTCTCTCTCACTCTCTCTCTCTTAAATAAATAAAATCTTTATTTAAAAAAAAAGAAAGAAAGAAAGAAAATGCCCTCCCAATAAACAGCATGCTGTCTTTCATACTGACTTCCAAATATGGAAGATAGGAAATTACTTCTGCAAACACAACAAGGGGGTTTTGCATTTATGGTCATGGGTGTTGGAGGACACAGCACTATGTTGCCTGTATAAACTTACTCTGGCATTTAGATGAGAAATGTGCCTATATGGAACATTTTTATTCATTGCAGAGATGATGTACCTTGAGACCCCTCCTTTGCCACATATAGCACAGATTAATGTCATGACTTTTGTATGTTGAAGACAGCAATGTAACTGGGAGGCATGAGCATCATCCTCCATGTGGTGACTGAGCAATGGAGGCCACTTACATCTCTGATCCTGCTGTCTCAATACCTAGCTACTTTTGTTGTCATAGTGATGAAAAAGCTCACTAGAGGGTCTCCTCCCATTGGTATGCTTTGACACCTGGTAAATCTGCTCATAATCCAGAAGCCAGAACAAGTCACATGGCTCCAATGAAACTGAAAAGGGACTCATGGACTATTTAGCAAGCGTGAATGTCCTTGTCATAGACATTATAAGGTCACTTACCATCTAATTGTGTTGTTTTCCTAGTTTTTGTCATGGCCGTTATGAAAATGTAGATTCTCAAGAAAAATTTAATGCCGTTAATTTTTATTATAAAAGTTGAGCTGAATTCCCATTGGTGGATGGGGGAGGCAAAGAAGTTGAAGAGTTTTAGTGAATATTGAGAACAAGGTGGTGATCAGTCCTCATCAAAGTGCAAGGAGTTTGCTTTCCTTTAGCAATGATTTCAACATTTCCCAGATAGATAATTTTCTTTTCTTGTCTTCGGAATCCCAGAAGTAGCTGCCATTTCTAAAGATCTTTTTTTTTTTTTCTTATGGTTATATTTATGCATCTATAATTTTATTCTCTTTGTTTGAATCTTATAGAACTGTTTATGTCATACACGGGTGACATGTTCAACTTGCTTCATTTAAATTGTACAACTTCAGGACCTTACACACTGAAGGTACTCAATAAATGTATGTTGAAAACCTAAATAAGTATAGCCTAAGAAAAATGTAGGTAGAGGAGAACCTTACCATCTCAGGAAAGACAGTTGGGATTCATGCAATAATCGGAATAGAACAAAATGGAGATTGAGATCAGAGTGGGGCAATGGTCCAAATAGGGGCAAAACATGATCCTCGCTTAAAAAAGAGGGAGCTCCAGGGCTTCCCTAGGAGATATACCAGAGGGAAGCAGCTGCCTCTTGAGGAGATAAGACGAGGACAATAACAGGAAAGGAAGATTCAGCCCCATGAGAGTCCACAAAGAGGCGTACATCTTCAAAGTAGGTCCTTAGACATCCAGTGTCTCCAGCTCACATAGTCACTGTTTGCCCTCACCGTTTTTAGGTCTTACTGCTTTGCAACTCTTCTTTAAGGATATAGTAAATTACTGACTCCAATATAGTCAGTATAGCTAATCTTTAGTAATTATCAAAAAAAAAACATTAACAGTCATCACTTCATGGTTCAGTTGCCCTTCTCTAGCTCACATTAACTGAAGTAGGCAATCATGGAGCCTCTGCTAGTAGAGAAAGATTTTAATGCTATTTAAAGAAAAAATTTTTTAAAAGTATTCCCTTCTGACGGAAATTTGCATTCTGATAATATTTTATTTGTATCTTTTTTTAATGTCATGACAAGAAATGGATTTGATTTTGAAGAGGAATCATTTTGAATAATTAACCATGAATTACTCTAATTAGCAGAAAATAATTATAGGTTGGACATAAGCTCTTTCAAAAGCAAAGGATAGCGTAAAAGACTATTGGAAAAATAATACCACCTGATAGATGTTGAGATGAATCCAAAAGAGAGCTTTTCTTTGAATCAATCTTCAGCTAAGGCATTTAAATGCCTCCCATTAGAAAACATTCATATTCCTGCAAGACAAAAATTATTAGCAAGCATATGTCGTCAGTTAGAGAATCTTTAGTGTAATAATTAAAGAAGACATCTTTAATGCTTCCAAAAGAAGAAAATACAGTTTCACTTTTCATACCACCTTCTAGATCTGAGCCCTTAGATAGAGTCAGCATATCTGTACACTGTAGGTGGAGTTTAACATATTTATTTCCCTTGGAAAATATTTGTCAAATGACTGACATGACAGAGTTGCACTTGTGGCTCCTGTCTCCTGAGAAGAGCTTATGGAACAGGACATGTGCCAAACTGATGAGAAAAGGTAACAGAAAAGATTCCATTTGCGAGTTTAATCAGTTTCTGTAAAGACCATCAGCAGGGGGCGCCTAGGTGGCTCAGTCGGTTAAAGCCTCTGCCTTCGGCTCAGGTCATGATCCCAGGGTCCTGGGATCGAGCCCGCATTAGGCTCTCTGCTCAGTGGGGAGCCTGTTTCCCCCCACCCCCAACACCGCCACCTGCCACTTCGCCAACTTGAAATCTCTACTTAAAAAAAAAAAAAAAACAAAAAAAAAAAAAAAAAAAAAGACCATCAGCAGGGCACAGAGGGGTGCAGTCCACTCAAAGAACATTTTTGAGCTAAAAACAGCCCAGAGGTGGAACCCAGAAGATCTGTCCCAGATATGGCACCACAGAAAACCAGCTAACTAGTAACAGATAACTATCTCTCTGACCTGAACAAGTCTCATAGTGCCTGTTTACCTATTTATTACTAATGCCATCCATCCCATGGATGTAACATGGTAAAATTGTAACATGGTAAAAATGAAATGTGAAATTCACTTTTCAAAGTTAAAAGCAACAACAGCAATGGATATAATATTATTTGGTCAAAATGTAGTTTTCATATATTTGATTTTTACCAATAAAAACTGACACTATTAAAAATGAGAAGTACATGGGGCACCTGGGTGGCTCGGTGGGTTAAAGCCTCTGCCTTCAGCTCAGGTCATGATCCCAGGTTCTTGGGATTGAGTCCCACGTCGGGCTCTCTGCTCAGTGGGGAGCCTGCTTCCTCCTCTCTCTCTCTCTGCTTGCCTCTCTGCCTACTTGTGATCTTTGTCTGTCAAATAAATAAATAAAATCTTTAAAAAAAAATGAGAAGTACTTGGTATATGGTTGAATAAAGCATAACTTATTTTTGTGTGAACATCATCTAGAAAAATAAATAAAATGATGCCTTACCACATCAAGGCATGCTCTTACACTTGTTGAGAGTTAATTATGCAAGAGTGCCTCTTTACAAAGTAAATATATAGTGGCATTCTAATCATCGGTCAGAAATGGTCTCTTGGCACATTTCATTGTGACTTTCCAGGTTAGTTCCCAATTTATAGAGTAACGTTCTTGGGACTTAAATCCTTGCTTTTTTCTGTATGGCTCTCCTGCTACCATCTCGAAGGTTTTCTTGGTTAATCAAAATAGTGAGATCAAGGCTTATGCACAGAATAAAAAGGTATTCCTACCTGCTTAAAAAAAAAAAAAAAAAAAGACAGCACTCCTCCATCCTTCCATCATATCATCTTCTCTTCTCTTCTTCCCTGCTTCCCTGAAGTATTGAATCAAATACTATCTTTAGTGAATCATCATTAAAACATATGTTGTTTGCCTGGGAGAAGAGAAGAGTCCAAGAATCTCCTTCAGTCCTTTCACATTGGTTACTGGCATGAATTCTTTTGTTCAGTTAGCCAAAATAGTTTTACATTGTAAGCCGGATGTCCTTGTTTGACAAGGATTTGGGAAGAATCTCTCTAGTGGTTGTAATAGATGAATTTTTATGTTCCTTTCAACCCTGAATTTTTTTTGGTAAGATTTTATTTATTCATATGACAGAGATCACAAGTAGGCAGAGCAACAGGCAAAGAGAGAGGTGGAAGCAGGCTTCTTGCTGAGCAGAGAGCCCGATGGGGGGCTCGATCCCAGGACCCTGAGATCATGACCTGAGCCGAAAGCAGAGGCTTTAACCCACTGAGCCACCCAGGGGCCCCTCAACCCTGAAATGTTTTATTACAAGTAGTTCTGTGTAGCCCCGGGGGTGGCATGAGAAAAAGGAAGGAAGATACTAAATGGAAGTGGAAGAGGTGAGATCATCAAGGATAATCACACACTTCAGTTTTGCCCAGAACTGGTAGGCGAAAGCATGGGTGAGAAAATTGGACCTTTATACAATGTCTAACATGCCACATACATCCTAACTTCTTAACCCTTACATCTATTTTTTCTGAGCAGAGAAAGTAGGATTCACCAAAAAAAGACAAGGTTCTTTGGGGAGGAGGGGAACAAAAAGACTGTGTATTTGTTCCTTCATTGATGAAGGGAATTTACCAGAGAATAAGGGGAGGTGGATATCTCATTCTTGAGGTCAGATGCACTACCCCGTTGTGCCATAGGGTCAGCCTGGATATCTCATTCTTTAGGGGCTACTTAGATTTTTAAGTATTCTAAGTATTTCTAAGCTTCCGCAACCAAGGAACTGAGCTCTTGGTGACAGAATGGACTGGTGGCTAGAGAACAGGCAGAGGCTGTTAAGTTTTCCTCCTCCCTTGTCCACTGGGCCTTACTCCCTGATCTTCAGGATCCTCCTCCTGTCGGAATGTTCCTACATCTGGCTGGCCTCTTCCCTCAGACTTAGCAAGGGCTCTGATGCACATATTGGCCACATCTGATTTCACAGAAGTGATCCTTCCATGTGTGTTGGTGGGACCGTCACAGTCTGTATCTGTAAAGACAGAAATACACAGCATTTACTTATGGTCAGTAAACATCTTGTGAATTGGATCGGAATGTCTTGTCATCTGGCAATTCCCAGGGGAGGCCAGGGATAGAGGGCAGATTCCTGGTCAATTAGGTGGAGAAGTCACTCTCAACTCGAGCCTCTTTTGGAATCTCAGCAGGTTCTACCCCTTGGGCTACATTGGTGGGACCCTCGGGGCACCCATGGGAGGAGGAGCATGATCAGCATCATCTCTTGATGGGATTAACACCCAACACAGCATTCTCTTGGAAGAGAGAAAATGAATAAGAATTCTAATAACCCAGCTTTAATTTTTTGATTACAAAATGAGTGAATAATTGGGGCACCTGGGTGGCTCAGTGGGTTAAGCCTCTGCCTTCGGCTCGGGTCATGATCTCAGGGTTCTGGGATCGAGCCCCACATCAGGCTCTCTGCTCAGCAGGGAACCTGCTTCCTCCTCTCTCTGCCTGCCTCTCTGCCTACTTGTGATCTCTGTCAAATAAATAAATAAAATCTTAAAAAAAAAAACCAAAAAAAACAAAATGAGTGAATAATGAAAATGAAGAGGCACATATAACTTCACACAAATGGATCAGTGGTTAGCAAGGAGTCTGAACTGCCAGTCATTCTCACATGTATTTGTTGCCAGGTAGAAGAATCTGCTTATTATTGAAAACACATTATTATTAATTTGTTCTCATTCTCATATTAAAATATTTCTAAGACTTTTAGTGCAGTTTTTCCCTCTTCAGTTGTCTCACCATGTACAGAAAATATATCAAAGAACCAGATCAAATTATTTATCAGAAGTTCTTTTTAAAGATTTTATTTATTTATTTGACAGAGATCACAAGTAGGCAGAGAGGCAGGCGGAGGGGGGCGGGGGGAAGCAGGCTCCCTGCGGAGCAGAGAGCCCGATGCGGGGTTTGATCCCAGGACCCTGGGATCATGACCTGAGCGGAAGGCAGAGGCTTTAACCCACTGAACCACCCAGGTGCCCCCACAAGTTCTTTTTAAAAAGCAATTTTAAAAACAGCTTTGTTGAGATATAATTGATGATTATATATGATAAAGTGTACAAAGTAATAAGTAGAAATTAGTAAGTTTTGACATAGTATGTGTACTTTTAAATCCTCACCAGAATCAAGACAGTGAACATTTCCATCATCCTCAAGAGTTTCTCATGCCCTTTGATAATGCTTCCTGCCTAGGCCTCCCCCATTCCCAAGCAACCAGAGATCAGCTCTTGGTCACTATAGATTAGTTTGCATCTTCCGGAGTTTTATATGAATGGAATCATACAGTAACACTCTTGTCTGTTGCACTCAGCGTAACTATTTTCAGATTCATCCCTGTTGCATGTTCATTTTTATTGCTGATTCATTCATTTGCTGATGGACATCGGAGTTATTTCCAATTGTTGACTATTATAAATAAAGCCATTATTAACATTCATGTGAAAATATAAATTCATATGGCTTATGATCTTTTTAAAAAAAAACATTTATTTCTTTATAGGTTAAGACCCTAGCAAGGTAATATTTATAATCTATTACCAGTATATCATTACTACAAATTGTTTTTGCCTTAGGTTAACTGCATTCAATTAAAGAACTATTTATAGAGTATTAAGTATGTATAAAGCTAAGAGCACAAAAATGGATAAGAGAGAAATATATACATAAAGGGAAAAGCTGAATAAGGTAAATGTCATAAGAATAATAACAATAACAACAAACCTATGAGTTAGGGTCACAGGAATAATATCTAGTTGAAAAACAAGAAAGTCATTGAGAACAGGTAATTTGCTGGAGACTCTGAAGCACGTGCTAGGATTTTAGCATGCGATGTTGGGAAGAAGTATGCAGTGGGAAGGAAGGAACAGAATTAGAGTTCGGAGGCAAGATACATGGGTTAAGTGCTTGGACAAAGCACTCCAATTTAATCGTAGCACAGGATCGACTCTATGGTATGTTGGCAATCTCCTGTTTCCTCAGACCTCTTCTGGAATGTTTGATTCTGCACTTTGGTTTAGTTCAACAGCCATTCCTCCAGTGCCCATAGTGACAAGCACCGTGCTAAAGCAAGGAAAGAAACGATGAAAAGGTATACACACACTCTCTGCCCTCAGATCACTTACACTGGGGCAAATCCTTTCATGTATTATGGTTACTAGAGATATGTTTGGAATGCTGTTGGATGGAGAGGAGCACCTAACCCAGCCTGTGG